TGGAAGGATAGTAGAGGTGGCTTTCTAAAAGTGGCCTATTCAATGGAGCTACTTCTGTATGGCTGCAGATGCATTCAAATGCTTGCCAGAGCAGGCTATTAGTTCTGGATGAACAATAAGAGCTATATGTTTCATTGGCTAACTTTGAGGATTTTCTTAAAGCTGGAGGTATTCCATTTCAATCTCCAAATCTTTTAATTAACACACATTTCCTAAGGAGGCTGAAATTCCTCCTGATTGAACACTCTTAATGTACAATACAGAAGTGCAATATACCCTTCTAGATAATTATTTAAATGAGGTGCCTAATACTTGTGTTGAAGAGACATCTTAATTTGCAAAAAAGATCTATCCACATTTTGCACTTGAAATACTTAATAATTCCACTATTCAAGCATTATAAAGACTGTCTTCTCTGAGAAGGTCAATGAGATCCCTAATTGTTCATTTACAGTCATCCTGAGTACCTTTTTAATTTCCTTCTATTAATGTCATTCTCATGGTTTTGCTTGAGAGGGGTGTTGCACTTTGCTGAGAGAATAATTTTCATTGTCAGATATGTAAAGTGATGTTTTCCTGAGACTGTAATAATTGGCAAAGCTGAAAATAAGAATATAATCTGGAACATTTTGTAGGGAAGCATTTAGCTCATTTGTGATTGTTTTGTTTGCTGCTCATGGGGGGAAAGTCTAACATTTTCTAAAATGGATTATGATTGGTATTTGTCTGAAGCTGTTCTTAGAATTATCAAAGGAAAGGTGTTGATCTCTCTGAGTGATGTTCAGCCTACCTAATTATATGGTTCATTTATTTATTGTCCGAAACAATGGTTTAAATTTAAAAATCATTTTTTGAATTTACACAGCTATTATGACAGATGAAAATTAGGTAGTATATTCCTAAGCTTAAATATGGTCTATTAGGCCTTTTCTTTTTCCTTGACCAACCATCCTCCTAACAAATATTTATTATGTATTATGTTATACAAGGTGTTTGGGGCATGCAAAGAAGTGTAAGACTTAGTTCCTGCTGTCAAGGAGCTAACATTCTCGAGAAGATAAGACATACATATTGTCATACATGGCAAGTGACCCAGTAATCTAAAATAGTACATAAGCTGGTACCAAAAGCAAAAGACAACAAACAAAATAACAGACCTTTAATTTGCAAACTATGGATGTTTGCTCCAAGGTAGAATAAAGTTAGTAAATACTGAAACTGGGCTAAATTTCACTCCCTTGGTAAGTCTCTGAAAGATTAGAAGCATATAATTTAGGAATGAGGACTATCTGTCTACAGGTAGTACAAATCTAGATTGTTAGCCAGGTCTTTCAGACAGGTAGCAAATAGAAGAAAAACTAATTTCCCAGAGATTATGTAAAATGACTAGATTTATCAAAATAACTGTTGGAAAGAACAGTGATTCCAACAATTCCCAATCATGCTGGAATGATTGGACACAAAAAGTGAATACATATGAATAATATCAATGAGACCCCTTTTGAATGCCACAAAAAGCATTACTATTCTTTGTTTTGTGTCATTGTGAAATAAATAACCACAATGGCTTGTGTGCTATAGACTTTATGGGATTAAAATCTTGCTCAATTTAGTCAACCTTTCTTCTTGCTATACACTCTGGGGTTCTTTAGATTTCACCAGCAGAATTCTTGTCACGGAGAGGGCTCTCCCCACTTCCCTTTGCGGATGTAGAAACATAGCCCCCCCCCCCCAAGAGAGGCCAGTAGCTTTCCCCCTACACTGAGATGAGTGCACTTGAACTGTATAAAACCATGCCCCTCCAGACTAGAAATGACCTAGGAGAAGATGAGACTGAAAGGTGGCCCATGCCTAGAGAAGGTTAGACTCTGAAGGCTGACTCAGAGAACTTAAACAGGAATGTTTCAACTTACAAGCTACCAATAGTTTAAAAAAATTCACAAGTCTCCATTAAATGGAATTTCAAATACACGTCTTTCATGATCTGTTAATGAGGACAGTTTGACATTCTCTCAGGTGAAATAATTTAAGTAGAAACCATGTGACATTATAATCAATTTAAGCAGCTCTCTAACTACTTCTAATTTGTCAAAGTGTTTTACAGTTAAAGCTATAATTAGCTAGCCCTCTAAATTCACTGTGAAGTGGAGTTGAATTACCAAGCAAGCTTTATAACTCTGAAAACAAAGGACAAATAATTTTCAAAAAAATTCAACCATTTGGGTGCTGGTTACATGGTTGTGTTCATCTTCTAAAAATTCATCAAGCTAAATACTTAGGGTGTGTGCATGCATTATTGTGAATGTAGATTACATATCAGTGAAAAGTTAAAATTAACACGTATATGTTAAGAAACCTGATATAAAGAGGAAAGCTCTTACTAGCCTAGCTCTTCTGAAATTACCCAGGAAAAGGCATTTGTGCTGGTGTAATGGGCCTTCAGTGTGCTGAGCCAGCCACTTGCAGTGCTAAAGCTAACCAGATTCCTCCTATACTTAAATTAGAGTTTAAAAATAATAGAATTGTTTGCTCAGGTGTGTAGATGGAAGTTAAAGTGGCAAGAAGGTAAATGGATTTTCACATAGTTTGTTTGCTTCTTCAATGGGACACTTGGGTCTTAACTACATGGTACCACAGAGAGAATATAAGAAGTCCTGGTTGTGGCCTCCCAGTCCAAAGTTCTCATGTCACAGAGAAGAAAACAGGCTCCCAGAGGTGAAATTACTAGAGCATGGCTGATTCTCTCGCCCCCAGCGGCCTCAGTGCTTTCTGTTCAGATAGACCTGGGACCAAATTCCAACTCTCTGTTTACATACAGTGGGTCAAGGGTAAACCTCATTCAATCTTTCTAACTCAGTTTCCTCAGTAGTTCAAAGGGAGACAATAGAATAATGTCCATGTTATAGAACTGTTGAGATGATGAAAGAGAAAAAAATACATAAAAAAGCTTCTGACGTGTAGTAAGTGTTTCATAAATTCCTGCACCCCACACACTATTCTTTTTTTTAAATTTCAAATCTGGGCATTGGATTAGATTAGTCCCAGAGTTCTTATCAAGGCCAGAAATAGGAGATGGCACACTCTTAAAGCAAAGCTCAAGTCTCTCTCCCCACCCCCCCACGCACACATTCTTCCTTTGACAGGGATCTCCTTCTAACTATTTCTGTCCCTTCTTCCCATTTGCCTTCCACATCAAGCCTCTTGAAATCTGAGTCTGTGTTGCTGTTTCTGCTTTCCCTACTCCCATTTAGTCCTCCGTCTTTGGGTTGTACCTCGACCATTCCAGTAAAACTGATACGCAGAGATCCTCAAGGATGCACACCTTCAAATCCCAAGGTCCTCCTTCAGCTTGATCTTATTACTTTTCCATGACATTTGTTCCTGTTGATCACTGTCTCTAAAACACACTCCTCTCCTTGGCTTTTACGTGGCTCTCGTGGTGTTCATTCTGCCTACCTTCTCAGTCTCTTTCTCAGGGTCCCTTAAATGCAGGTGTTCTCTAGGGCTCCCTCTGTCTCCTCAACCGTCTCTTCCCCACCTGTGACTTCTATCCCTTGATGGCACACAAACATATCTCTCTATCCTGCCCTGTGTTGCGAGCTCTAGATCTCTATGTCAATTGCCCATTGATTAAACTCATCTCAACTGTGCTCACAATTGCCACCCCCTCCGCTTCCTCCTCCTCTACAAGGTCCCCTGCCCCTTCATCTATACTGTTGCCTTAGCTCTCACTGTCTACTGGTATTCAATCCATGAATACATTTGGCACACCTCTTTCTTATAAATACTCACAAATCACATTCTTTGTCCTCACACTCACTGCTCTAGCCCTGCCTTTTATCCTTGTTGGTTTTCCTGACTTGAGTCATTTACAGAGGAGGTGACAGTCTAAGCACAGCACTGATGCTGTGAATGTGAATCTGATTATTCCCTTCTTAGAAATCCTAGTAATCCCATCTGCTTCAGAACCAAGTTCAAACTCTGAGTATAGCCTCCAAGAGCTTTTGTGATTGTCTCTGTTTTCTTTTCCAAACTTAACTTTTCCATTCTGGGTCTTATGTCCCGGGCTTGTGCAGCTGGGATTGCCGGGAACATCCTTCCCCTTTTCTGAACAATTCCTGTCCATCTTTCACAGCATAGCCAGCTGTCACCTCCTCTGGGAAGGCTTCCCTCACCCTCTGCACCCCATTCCTGGCTGGGCTGGCAGCCTGGCTCACAGCACCCTGCTCATAGCAGTTAGACTTCCCGCTCTGTGTTGTGACTGTCTACTTGTCTGACATTTACATTAGAGGCAGGAAATGTGTTCTTTCATCTGTTTTCCCAGGGCACAACGTGATGCCCACATGTACCAGTCCCTTCATAAAACGCAATTTGAGCGAGTGATGAGTTGGCCAGAGCAAATCTGTGGAAAGCATGGGTGGGGCTGTGGAGGAGTGGGGAGGCGTGCGTGCGCGTGCGTGTGAACTGGGTGGCTTATCAACTCCTCCGCAGTCTAGAACAAGCTCCAAAGTAATTTAAATAAAAAATGAGTTCATTTTTTCCCTGATCCACCCACATGATCATTTCATTGCCACCTAGAAGACTAAAATTCATATAATTTTCTGTTTCTCGCATGACGGTGTCAAATGATCTGAAACATGTCATGCGCGAGCACTCTCTCTTGGGGCCTGACACCTACAGGATCGGATGCCTCCCAACCTTTGCTTTTTACTCCTTAATCCTGAAACACATTATATATTTCTGTGAGCTTTTTCATTCAGGAACAATTCTCCTCTAATGAAAACATCTCTTTCATCTTGTTTGAACCTCCCCCTCCCCCAATAAACCTCCACAGATAGAACAAAGGTGATGACTTTAAAAATTTTAATGAAGCAGCTAGCAGAGTGGTATAGAATGAGATTTTAATATTACACTTAAAAGAAAAAAAAGACAATTTATTTGAATCATTTTTTGGAAATGCATCAAAGCAAAAAATTTGGAATTCTAATGTAAACTGTAACAGAGAAAACATAGTGTCCATTAGAATAAAATTGTTGCTGAACAGGGGCCCAACTATTCCACAGAAACAAAGATTTTGTTTCTTTGAAGTAAAGTACATGCTAGTTATGTTTTCGACCTCATCTTTTTTCCCTCAGAAACATTATTACAGAATAAAAGATAAAAATCCAAAGGCAAATGATTAAACTTAATCTTATCTTTATTAATAAGTCTCTTCATTGTTACTTTACATCCAAGCCTGGATCAACTTAACTTAAAAGGAAAAGGATATTGATTCCATGACCTTGTGATAAAGGAAAAACCATTGAGCTAAAGAAACAGGTATTGGGGATGGTGTGGGGAGCATGCAATACTGAGGAAATTTTGTACCTTTTGTGGAAATCAATATCTGTAAGCAGCTACCTTACAATTACAAAAATTCATTTTGCCTAGGTGAGAGAAAGGCTCTTAGAATTACTATTTAATCACAGAAGTGCTTCATTTTTAGTGGGTGTTTTACTAATAAAGTGGGAATGAAAGAGTGATTATTTGAGCAAACTGCTTCTCACCGCTGATCACCAAAAGCCTAATTTTCTCCACAGAGGACAGCTCTTCAAAATTGTATTGTTTTTTGCTTTCAGTAATTGCAGCCATCAATGCCTCAGCGGCTGTCAGTCCCCCGACCCTCACCCTCAGACACCTGCTGCTGTGGCCACTGATGATAATGAGATAATTTACCAGGGAGGAAATAATGTGAAAGGGAGAAACTGGGAGTGGGCAAAGTGGTAGCAGAGGTCCTCTTATTAATACGCTCTTCCCTGTCGGTTCTTATTCCACATTTATCCAAATTCCACTCCTTCAAAGAGGCCTTCCTGCCTCCCCCTCCGACCACGCCCTCAGCAGCTATTGTACATTCCAAACTATGCTTATTTATGGACTTTTCTCCTGTTGTCTTCAGATTCTTGTCCATTGGTTGGTTTGATTTCCTCAGGTAATCCATATATTCTCTAGGAGATCAGGTTTCTTAAATTGGGAGTTGAGAAATACATAGAACCATCTGTGAACCATAATATACATGGAGCCACTTTAAAATAGAGTGGGAACTGCCTCCCAGAGAAACTGCCTTGCACGTCTTATGTCTTTGGGATGTTAAAACAGGGCAAAATAACCTTCGGTCTAGTCCTAGGCAACATGGTGTCGCAAAGCACTGTTTGCAAAGAGCACAAGAAAGCAGTTATTATGACTACTGGACTGATGTAGACAGGACTGAAAATTTAAAACATTGCTTAGAATTAACATTGCTATGTTATGTTATCAGCCCCAATGTAGAAATGCTTCCCTTCTACTGATGTCATTGCTCCCCTTCCCTTCTTATAAATACCCACTGCTTCTGTCCCCTAATCAGAACATTGTCTGGGCTTCTGCTTGAATCAGTGCTTCCTGAATAGCAATCTCAAATAAATGCTTGTTTGCTTCTCACTTTGAAAGACCTTTTTGTTTTCAAGTTAACATATCTCTCTGCTACTCTGTGAAGGTGACCCCTTCGTTGGGACGTTGTATTTACCATGAGTTTCTACACTATTGGTTTTGTAGTTTACACCACCCCCCTTTCTGGGTGAGGTCATTGATTGGACTGGTTGTTAGGGGGAAATCAGCAGCACTCAGATGTTTAAGGGAAGTTGAGAGAAAAGAGTCCTCCCAGGAGGGCTGTGGAATGGGAGTCTGTTGAGGTTTTGACCAGAGGGTCTCAGGATGTTCAGGATGTAGCCAGCTCCCCAGTGTTGGGTCATAAGATGGCGATCTCTACAAAGAACCTGAGGGGAGCGGAAGAAATTGGCAGGGAGAGGGTTGGAGCTCTGGGTTGGCCTTTGGGGCTGGATTAGAAAATAGAGACAAAAGACACGAGGAGCATGCTATGCGAAGTCAGCTATGACAGGGTCAGATACCAATGTCCAGTGTCAGAATGTTTGCATGCTTATTTTATCCTCTGTATGCATCTCTATTTTGTTTTCTGAAAATAAATAGTAAAATCTTTTTAGAAGTGTAAACCTTTTTCAGGTATACTAAGGGGAGTTAAAGGAAGGTGCAGGCTCTGGTTACACCTCTGGACCAGGAAATCAGTCTTTTTTCCTAAAGGTTCAGATAGGAAATATTTTAGGCTTTGTGGGCGTGCTACCTATGGTCTCTGCCACAACCACTCAACTCTGCTGTTGTAGTGTGAAGGCAGCCGGAGACAGCACCCAAATGAGTGAGCATGGTGGATTCCAGTGAAACTTTGTTTATAGATTTAGGCAGCAGGCTGGCTTTGGCCCACTGGCCGAGTGTGCTGGAGACAGGTAAAGGGCATATGACCCATCCCTGGGCCCTGGGTAAATGTTGGCCAAAATAACCCAAGTAAGAGAAGCATAAGGCACAGGTAGCTTAGGAGAAAGACTGGGCTCTTGCTGGCTGCCTAAGCTTTGGGTTTTAATTTATTAAGAGAAACACCTCCTCTACCCCACTTCTCTGAAAAAAAACTTTGGAGGAGGGATTTTTTTCTACTTTGTTTCTGCTGTATCCTCAGCACCCACACAGTTGCCTGGCATACACCAGGCGTTTCAAAATATTTGTTGATGAATAAATATTTGAGTGAATAAAATTATCTTACACAGCAGGACTGAGTGAACATTTAGGAACTCTGTGACTCTGGGTATGACTCAGTATATTACTGTTTGTTTGCAAACAAACAAAAACATCAGTTTTGATGTTGTGAGGCCAGAAAAAGAAACTAATCAGCCAAGAGAAGAAATCAAATATATCCTCTCAATTTTAAGTTAATCATGGGTAAGCGCTGTGTTTACTCATCTCTGCATCCTGTACAGCCCAGCGCTGTGCCCTGCGTAATCCACACTCAGGGTTGGTAACTGGCTGTTGGGGGTAGAAACAGGTCCAGCAGGCAGACCCTAACAGTGAGCCGTGCTATGGTCTGTCTGAAAGCTTGCGTCCCTCCAGAATTTATATGTTGAAGCCTAGTGCTGCAAGTGATGGAATTAGGCGGTGGGGGCTTTGCGAGGTGTTTATGTCATGAGGGTGGAGCCCTCATGAATGGGATTAGTGCTCTTATAAAGTGACCCCAGAGAGTGCCCTTGTTCCCTTCCACCGTGGCAGGTGACAGACTGAAGTCAGCTGTCTGTGAATGAGGAAGCAGGCTCTCAGTGGACACCGAAGTTGCTGGTGCTTAGAGCTTAGACTTCCCAGCCTCCAGAACTGTGAGAAATAAGCATCTATTGTTTATAAACCACCCAGTCTGTGGTATTTTTATTAAGGCAGACTGAACAGACTAAGACAGACAGGGGACAGAAAGGAGACTTATCAAATCATCACTAGGCTTCTCACA